TATAAAATGGTCTAAGGTCCTGCTTCCACAACCAGAAGTCTTTCTTTTCACTGTACTTCCTTTCCTTTATCTCTACACAACTCTGTAAGAAAGGCTTTGGAATTGTTTTTAATTATATGTGGAATTAATTCCTATCATTACTGTCTAAATAGATCCAATAATGCCTGACTTAGAAAAAGATTCCAAAAATCACACAGTAGCAGTTTATGGAATAAATAGTTCACTAAGAGAAAACATAACAAAGCTAAGAACAAGCTTAACAGAGATACCACATATTTTATCAAATTACTTGTATGGATGTTACTCATAACTGCCATATAATTCTCCTCTCAGCAATCAAGTCAAATATCTACCCTAACCTCTATTTCATTCTCAATACTGAATAAAATATGATTTTGAAATTCACATTAAACCAATTACTAGGTAAAATGGTGACCTATATAATAAGATTTTAGAATATATCTCTGGGAATAATTGTAATAACAGAAGCCAATTCCACTTTCCCAGTTCAACTTAGTCTATTATCTATGAATAATAAAAGATAAAAAAAATTCGAAGGGTATTCTTATAATTAGTGTAGAGAAAAAACTCAGAATAGAATAAAAGGAAAAAGGAAACTTACAACTAAAAGATTTCATTCCAACAGCTCTAGATTATGCATAGGAAAATTTTCACAATGGACTTGCTTTTTCCCATAAGATACGCTCAGGCAACCTCCACTAAACTACACTACCACACTGCATTAAACAGTGTGTACATAAGAAAAGGAAACGAATTTTATGACAATCCAATCTGATGCCAAGATGTATACAATTAAACAAGTATTTATTCAGTTCTAACTCTATGCATGATATGCCTACATCAGAAATATAAAACATTGGAAGGTTATCTGCTATTTTGTACTTCTCCCTCCCTCTAAATAAAAAAAAAAAAATGGATTCTACAATAAAAATGAGGAAGATACTATTATACAACACACATTTACAAGGGAATAGACTCAGTAGAGAAACACTGAACTAAACTCAACTAATACCACAAGCATCATTGGAGATAACTGATAACATAATACAGATTCACCAATCATCTAAGAATGAGATCATCATCCTCATTTCTAAAAGGACTGCAGTGGGGTTTGAGAAGGTCCCATTACTGACTTCTTTGCTTTTTCCCATCCAAAAAAGTAAGAGGACACAGGAGTCAGTTAGACAGAGATGAAATATATCTTTATTACTGATATAGCTATTGAAGAATACGGGCTAGGTGTGGGGGCCAAATGGGCTTGTGAGTAATTTTCATCCTCTCCTCTCCAGTCTAGACTTCAAGACAGCACACTCAAAAGAAAGTCTGGCTAGGATAATTGCCTTACTGGTCTGGGCAGAGACAGGTGGAGAAGAGACTGATTCCCACTACTCTTAGCTTAGTGATTAGCTCTTTCCAACCAAGCAAAACAGACCAAAGGCAATTACCCTCCAAGACCGTAACTCATGGCTCCATCGACCATGTAAGAGATGGAGCAAGTGATCAGCAGTGTTTCTTTAGGGAAGTCCTTCCCCCTGGATGGGGCAAGGATGAGTGGGCAATAATTGTCCCTCCTCTAAATGGGCTGCTATTCTGTACATTTGAAAACACAGATTGAAAGAGCCTAAAAGGTTTATTAAATTTGATTTAAAAATTACAATCCAAATATTCCATAAGCATATGTTAATAATAGCTTTTCTTAGGTTAACCAAGTTTCAGCATTCATCTGAATGTAAGGATGAAGTTATTAAAGAAATTAGAGAATGAAGCGCATTTCTACCTACGTGAATTGGAGTATGTATTGGACTGGCACCGTGAAGACAATCTCTGACTTCATCATAAAATAAATACTGAAAAATGTCAGATAATTTAGCTTGTCATGATTGCAATTCACAGATTTCTTTTAAACAAATATGAAGTGTTTATTGTGGGCTAGAATACTGGATAAAATATAAGAAAAGTCATAGTCCTAAAAGACAACCAAAAAAAATACAGAATTGCCATTAACCCCAAAAGAAATATAGGTGTCCAAGAAGCAAGAGCTGTTAGACAAAATATAAATATTGTGCAGGGACCTAGAATTTAAGTTACTAATAAAAGATTTTTCAATAGCATATCTTTTTTTCCTACATTCTTCTCATCTTTCCCCATCTCCTCTTAAAATGCAATATTCAAATTGGAATGCCCTGAGAACAATTAAGTAATTCTAGAAATAGGATGAATCACTAATATGTCATCTACATACACCCTTCTAAAGACTTCTGGAACCTATTCCTAGACTTCTAGAACCAACTTGAAATCTAAGAATACATGGTAAGAGATTCCTTTCCTGTATGAAGGCTGTAAAAAAACCATATACAAATGTAACCTGTTGAGTAAAAACTGTCAAGCATCTACTCTGTCACCCCTTAATCTCTATAATTGTAATAAAAGACAACTTTTAGAACTTGGATTAAGACACCACCTGGCCTTGTGACCTTGGACAAGTTAGTTGCCTCGTTTTTTACAATAGATGGCATTTTATTTATTTTCTTCATAGTTAGACACATAGTAGACAATTATATATTTAAGTGAAACAATATAAACATTGTAACTTAAACTGTAATTCCCTTAATGAGTAGATGTTTCACAGCTGATGGTGGATAAGGAGATAAAAAGATGCCATCATCAGTTACTAGCATTCTGGCTTCTAGTTTAGGATATGGGCATCTCAAAAGAATTTTCTGTATTAATTGTCTCCAATTCTTCGCCTTCATTTTCTCCTGAACCCAATCCAACCAGACTATTGATCTCACCACTTTGCTGAAAGAGCTCTTCCTGAGGTAGCTAGCCAGTCTGTGAAATTCAAAGTCAATTCTCAGAACTCATCTTATTTGATCCTCATTTAACCCAGCTGATCACTTTCTCCTCTTTGAAACAGTTTCTTCACTTGACTTTAAAGAGCCTTTTCTTGGTTTGCCTCTTACTTCACTGGCTGTTCCTTCTCCATCACCTTTGCTGGGTGACCTTTAAAAGTAGCCTATCTACTTTGTTCTGGTTCTTCATACCTGGCTAGTCACCAAGAGATTATTTGGCTCTGGCTTGAAAAATTACACATTAAAGATCTTGGGTTGTATTTGTCTCTACCAAATTTCTGGGCCCCTGAGAGCCTTCTAAGAAAGTTAAGATTCAATGTAAAGAACTTGTTCCAATTGGTTTCTCTGCTTACAAAGAATAAAATTCCTTCTGGCATTCAACATGACTGGATAAACACAGATTAAAACAATTTTCTGGATCCTTCTTTACAAATTCTACTTTGATGAAGAATCTTCTCGATTATCTATGCTTCTTTATTTTCTCATCTGTACCCATATAGTCAAATACTCTGGTTATTTATACTGCCTAATTAACTCTGCAAATTAAGCTGCATGAAATTATAAATGAAAATTCTAGGAGAGTTCACATGCAAAGCTAGATTACATAATCTAAATTTCCTAAAGAAAGCTACTAGGTTTCTTGACTCTCTTAAAGGGGCTTAATTTCCCATGAATAACTAGAAAGTATCTTCAAGATCTTTGGTTATGTACAAGACTCCCTCTAGCTACAGAATTTAATCCATGATGATAAATTCTAAACAATATTCCCAATATTAAAGTCATTCTTAAAAGTCTTCAGAGGTATAGTTTCACTAATTATTTTTACAGATACTGCATCATCACGTACTTTGAAAATGAAGTTTATTCTTCTCTATGAGCAGGAAGTGGCACCAGGTGACAGATCATAATCATAGTTATTACAAAACTGTTTGCGCATATGTATCTGAAGTGTGAAATGTTTATATTTTATAACTCTTACGAAAATAAAAATTGTTAAACTTATGGTACCATGGCAACCTAGCAATTCTGTATTCAATAATGGAATGAAAATGCAATGTTTGAAAAATTAAATTTCAGTATAAATTCAATAGTTCACCCAAATTTACGAAAACCTGTGGGGGGAAAATGTGCATTTCATATTTAGTCATGTGAAGTGTGCCTGGAATGGCAACTACTGGTAAATGTTATTTTTTTTAATCCGATAACTATTCAAAGCATTGTATGAAGGGCTCAATCAGATCATGTGAAATTCTACATCTTTCCCCCTATAACCCTGAATTCAGTGAAATGTCATCTTCTTGGTAGTAGGTTTCAGATAGAGACAGGATATCTATCCTAACTCAATAACCCTCGATGGTAGAAATAAAAGTAACAATCGAATTTTATAAGTTAATGTCTCGAACTAAAAAAAAGGGGGTGGAGGGAACAAAAACGAAAGGAAAAGAAAAGAAAAAGAAAAAAAGACCCTGCGCTACTGGTTGGGCTTCTTTCAATAGCACCCCAAGTACCTCTGCAGCCCAAAAAACTTAACAGCTCCTCCTATACGTTCCAGGACCAACCTGGTAGAAGCTCAGAGTTTCTCCAGATTTCTTAAACTGGTATACAAACCCCTATATAACAGGCTAAAAAGATTACAAAGTACCACGTAAGAAAAACTTCTGCAACACAGACGTTGGAGAGAATGCAGCCCTGTCTTCCCAGAAAGAAGAAAGGAAGCAGCTGAGATCGGAGTAAGTCTAAGTGCGAAGATGGCAATGTAGGGCGAGACGCGGCTGCTCTTTCTCACATTCTGGGGGGCAGGAAAGCAAAGCATGGGTGTAAAAAGAAAAGGTGTCTTCCTTCTTCCTGCAGCACAGCTTGGGGGGCGGGGAGGCCCGTCCCCAGAACGCCAGAGGAAGCAGGACCACCCCGGACTGCGGCCCCGTGCAGCCCGTCCCCGGCACCGGACCCTGAGAAGCGGGGGCGGCGAGGACCCGGGCCAGGTGGGCAGGTCCTTTGCAGCCCGGGGGCGCGGGGAGCCCCCGGTGGCCGGGCTGAGCGCGCAGCGGAGCCCGCAGCGACCAGGTCCCGCCGCCCGTGCCGGCCCCCTCGGACGGAAGGGTCGCGGCCCGCCCGCGTCCGCCTCACCTGCTGCACGCCGAGGAACTGGTAGAAGTTGAGCTGCACCTCCTCCACCAAGTCGAACAACTCCAGGTCTCCGCTCTCCCAGCCGCGCGCCGGCCCCGCGGCCGCCAGCAGCAGCAGCAGCAGCGGCAGCGGCGGCCACCGCGGCGGCGGGAACCGCGCGAGCCCCAGCCGCGGCGCGGGAAGCCGCGCCGGCCGCGAGCGCGGGCCGTCATCGCGCCCGGCTCGGAAAGGTCACCCGCCACGCAGTGCCGCCGCCGCCCCCGGGACGTGGCGGGCGGCGCGGCTGTGGGCAGCGGTGCCCGTCCGCGAGAGGCGCGCGGCCGCTCCGGAGCCGCGCGCCGGCGGCCGCCCGGCGGAGCGCGGGGTGGCGGAGCCCGCGGCCCGACGGCGGCGGTGGGCGGGCGGGGCCGCAGCTGGCTCTGCCGCGCGCCGACCCTCGCCCCCGGGCCTACAAACAGCTGGAGAGCCAGCGCCCGGCGCGGGGCTGGGGGAGGGGGAGGGGCTTCCCCTCGCCTCAGCCTATCACGGGCCACGCTTCCGGTGACATCACGTCTCCTAGCAACCGCGGGGCGGGGGCGGGGCCGGAAGTAGGGACGCCGGGAGCCCCAGATCTGGGCCTCAGGGAAATGCCTCTCCGCGGCTCGTGCGCGCGGAGGAGCTGTGCCTACGTTTGCTCCGGACGAGAGACAGGGGCAGGCACAGACGTGACGCGGCTACCTGGAACTTCCCGCGTCTAGACCTACCGCTGTATAGCTACCGTCTTGCCCTCGCCCAACGTTGAACACTGAAAGCGTATTTGCAGGCTGATTTAGTGCTTGTGGCTTCTGCTCCGTACATTTCATTATTCCATCAGCAAAGATAGGAGAAATTGAACCAGGCCTGAAAGATGCAAATCTCGTGAGTAGTCCAGAGTGTCTTTTTGAGAGAAGTGAAGCAGAAAAGGAATTTGAGCCAAGATAAAAAGTGTTCTTCTAATTATGAATTAAGACTTACAGGCATAGTGTTATACCATAAAATAGCGTGATAGAATCAACAATGGTGACTCAATCTTAGTTTTAGGAGAAATATAGTCTGTGCACCTTAGCTCACCCTCAATTGGAGTTATTTTCTCAATTGAGGTCCGTTTTTAAAAGCCACTTAGGCTAAAAGCCTCCTTTCTTTTGTAACAATGTCTCAGGTCCTAGTGTTACATTGCTTCTGTTCAGTCTCTTTAATTTTTTCTCCACCCCTGTTTTCGTGTGTGAACTTTATTTTCTTTTTTGCGTTCTCCCATTTCTCTTTCCTGACTCCCTACTCTTGTTGAGAAAGTAGAAGAAAGCAAAAAAAAAAAAAAAAAAAATGCTCTTATAAACTCAGAAAGCTAGCCCAATTTTGAAAGTTTGACCTTATGCTTTTCCCATCTTGGATCTGGCCAGTTAAATCAATCTCAGTAGGGTAATGATAAAACTACTTTCTCTCTCCTAGAAAGAATATGCTATTATGTTTTATAAAGGTTAGAAAAACACTAGGAAGCAAATCTTACTGAGGAAATCCTATTATTGTGGAGTTTTAAAAATATTTTTAAATGAAGTCATAAATGAACATAAGTATATCTTGCTTAAAATACTAGATATCCCTGAATTAATCACATTTTAATCTATCATAAAGCTGACCTTTCAAAGAAACAAGAACAGCAGTATTGGAGTCTGCTAGGGCTAGGCTGCTAACAAAATACCTTAGACTGGGCAGCTTAAACAATAGACATTTTATTTCTCACAGTTCAGGAGGCTGAGAATTCTGAGATCAGGCTGCCAGCATGGTTGGGTTGTGTTGAGAGCTCTCTTCCGAGTTTGCAGATGACTGCTTTCTTGACGTATGCTTACATAGGCAAGGAAGCAGGGAATGGATGGATGGACAGATAGATAGGTTGTGTCTCTTCTTATAAAGGCACTAATCCTATTATGGGGGCTCCACCCTCATGAGCTCATCAAAACCTAATTATCTCCTAAAGGTCCTACCTCCAAATACCATCACATAGGGGATTAGCTGAAACAGAATTGGAGTCTATTCAGTATAGTATTTCTCACTGACATAGGTATTGCTCTTGAAGATTCATCCTGACCATTTCCAATGACACTTGTCTACTCTGAGATGATGTTTCGACTGGTCCAGATCCCTGTAAAGACCACAGTAATAGTCATATTTAGATTTCTAGTTTGGCATCTTCACATAATCAGTCATTGTCCCCAAAAAGACAATGTAATTGAATAAATCTTCTTTTGCTAAGCCCTAGACTAAGTGAGCTGTTTTTTTCCCTGGTGACATTTACTGATTCTGGGCATGGATGGATCAAGCTTGGCCTGGACAGAGCAACTTAACACTGAAAAAGAGAAGCCAGTGAAACATTTACCTGTCATGTGAGTTGTACTGGAAAGGCAGAGGAGCCCTAAACATACAGCCAGTTTTCCCACAGGACATCTGCTCAGTCCTGGGATGGTACAGGATGCTGGGAAGCCAGGCCTGAGAGACAGAGTAAAAAATCATGCCACATTCTATCAGTGCATTAAAAATTAATTTTACCTGGAAGGAGGAGCCTGCTCGAATATATAGGCATTCTTCCCCTCAAGACATTTGCAATATTTCTGAAGTTGTGTGAGTGGGAAGCTAAAGACCTAAGTTTAATACCTCTCAAAGATAGAACTAAATCTCCAGGGCAGAGGAGACAGAACCTTCCAGGCTCTTAATCAAAAGCCCAGAAGAATCACACATGAAGAACACAGAGAAACCAGAGGTGGACTGATTCTCAGTAAGACTGCAACCCAACCCCAGCCCAGCTCATCCATGATTGAACAGAGGTAATCAGACCCTTGCCTTGTGTATTTTCATCTCCAGAGGAAAATGTCATCTATATCGTCTACGGCGTTTTTAATATAAAAGTCTGGCACTGGTAAAAAAAAAAAAAATTAAGAGACATGAGAAGAACAGGAAAATCTGACCAATAATCAAGAGAAAAATAGATCATTGAAGACCTACAGGTAAGCCAGATACTAAAGTCCACATAAGAACTTTAAAATAACTATTATAAAATAAAGCAATAGATTATAAAATAGAAGAAAAGGTGGACAAAATGGTTTAAAAGGTACAGAATTGTAACTGGCAATTGGAATTCATAAAAGAGAATAAATGGAAAACCTTGAATTGGCAAATATGTAACCTGAAAGCACAAACACAATGGATTAGTTTAACAGCAGACTGGACACAGCAGAACAGAGGATCAGTGAATTGAGGACAAGTCAAGAAGAAATACCCAAACTGAAGCACAGAGAGAAGAACAAATGGAAAGAACAGAACAGAGCTTAAAAGGTATGTGTACAGTGAATAAATCCAGGATAGGTGTAACTAGAGTCCTAGAAAAAAAGGAGAGAATGAAGAAGAAGCACTATTTGAAGAAATGATAACCAAGAATTTTATGAAAGTAATGAAAGACGTCAAACCACAGATGAAAAATTAACTCAAAACAGATCCTAGACCTAAATGTAAGTGTTAAAACTACAAAACCCTTTTGTATAAGAAAAAAAGCAGGAGTAAATCTTAGTGATGGTGGCTTAGTTGATAATTCCTTACATAAGACACAAAAGCAAAGCATAAATGACAAAAGAAAAAAAATAGATAAACTGAACTATAGAAAGTAAAAAATTTTGTGTTGCAAGCAATATTATCAAGAAAGTGAAAAAGCAATCAGGAGAATGGGAGAAAATAGTTGTAAATCACATACCTGATAAGGGACTTATATTCGGAATATGTAAAGAATTCTCACAACTCAACAACAAAAAGACAACCCCATTTTTTAAAAATGGGCAAAGGATTTGAATAGACATGTCTCCAAAGATATACAAATGGGCAATAATCACATGAAAAGATGCTCAACATTTTTTTTCTTTTTTTTTTTTTAATTTCGGCATATTATGGGGGTACAGATTTTAAGGTTTCAATAAATACCCATTTCCCCCCTCCCCCCACAAGTCTGAGTCTCCATCATGACCATCCCCCAGATGGTGCACATCTCACTCCTTATGTATGTATATACCCGCCCCCCATCCTCCCTCCCACCTGCCCAATACCCTATTACTGTAGTACCTATGTGTCCACTTAGGTGCTGCTCAGTTAATACCAGTTTGCTGGAGAATATATCTGGTGCTTGTTTCTCCATTCTTGGGATACTTCACTTAGTAGTATGGGTTCCAGCTCTAACCAGGAAAATATAAGATGTGCTATATCACCATTGTTTCTTAGAGCTGAATAGTACTCCATGGTATATATATACCACATTTTATTAATCCATTCTTGGATTGATGGGCACTTGGGCTGTTTCCACAGCCTTGCAATTATGAATTGTGCTGCTATAAACATTCGAGTGCAGGTGCCTTTAACATTTTTAGTCATTAGAAAAATGCAAATCAAAACTACAATGAGATGCCACTTCACATATATTAGGATGGTTATAATTAAAAAAAAAAAACAGAATAAAAAGTGTTCGTGAACATGGAGAAATTGGAACACTCATAAATTACTGGGGGAAATTCAAAATGATATAGCCCCTTTGGAAACAGTTTGACAGTTCCTTATTATCCCAAGTGAAAGAAGCCAGTCACAAAAAAAAATCACATATTGTATAGTTCTATTTATATGAAATATCCAGAAAAGGCAAACTTAAAAAGACAGAAAATAGGTTAATGGTTGCTTAGGGCTGGGGGCAGGGGGTATTAGAGACTAACTGCTAATGGGTGCAAGACTTCCTTTAGAGGGTATAAAAATGTATATCATAGTGAAACTATAGAAAGGCTTGTGGGATATGCAAGAAGGCAGTAACTTCAAAGAGGGCTTGTAGCCTTAAATATCTTAAAGAAGGCAGGCAGAAAATCAATGAGCTACATGTTCAACATAAGGAGTTACATAAATAACCATAAAATAAACTCTGAAGGTTTCAATAAGGACATCTAATTTTCAACATAGTGCTTATGCAAGTGAACTGGGACCATATCCGCTCATGTATAGTTAAATAATTTTTTTTAAGTTCATCATTTTGTAGGTTCTGGTATTGACAAGGTTTAAGGTATAACTATGATAGTATGTGGCTAAGATGCATTGGAAGAATATACCATTGACAATGAGGAAAGGAAGGAGAATCCAGTGTGTTGGATGGGTCATCCACATGGGGGTTAATGGAAGAAGTTTTGATCTCACTACAAAAGAACTTGAACATCATAATGACCACTATTTTCTAGGGAAGAATGTGAAAGGGTATGGTAATTTAATAGACCGGAAAGACTCAAAGAGTTTTAAATTAGCCATCTGGTGGCTTATCCCTCCCTTTTGGGAAAGGTCAAATTGAACTATATCAAACAGAATTGAATATAATACTTGTTATAACCAAAATCCAAGCCTCTCTTAAAAATCGCCATTAGTGGCCTATTCATCCATGATTTAGAAATATCTGGTTCTCATTAAATCCTAAAATGTTCTCATTAGCTCCTATATGGCTGTTTCCCAAATGCATGAACTTGAAGTTCCAAGATATCATTGTTCTTTAATGTAACATTATCTTCATTCAGTAATTTATTTATCCAAACACCATTCACAAACTCATACTGCGTTGACAAAGGTTAGAAAAATATTGTTTTGCTGAAGCATCTCCTTGGAAAATAATCCCTTTTGTATTGCAGTATTGAATTTTAATCATTTGAAGGTCCTCATAAATAAACACAGATGCTCTTCATATTATAAATAATAAATGTTTCTAACATGTTGACACTATGGTTTTCACTTCTCTGAATAATGTACACAATAACTTACACAATCTCATAGTGAATAAGAGCACAGATTCTAGAGCCAGATTGAATAAACTTGAATCCTGGCTCTACCACTTTCTATCTCGGTGATAGTGGTTCCGTTTCCTTATTTCTAAAATTAGGATAATACTACTATCAAAATCATAAGGTGGTTGTGGGCATCAAGTGAAATAATTAGTGCCTGGTATACAGTAATTGGTATTTAAATGTCATTATCATTTTATGGGAAGTCTCCATCTATACTATGTTAAGGTTTCCATAAATAAATCTTATTTGTTTTTAAATGTTCAGATATTGTCTTTAAAGGCATTTGTTGTCAACCTTAGGCTGTGACTGCCCACTGCATCAGAAATTTATACAAGCACTTGCCCAGGATGGTGAGAGACAAGACTGTCTTTACAATATAATGACTGGTTATAAAAGCCAACTTAATTTTTTTGCACTAATTCCATAAAAACATATTAGCCTACTAAATTCCAACTTTCCTACTAAATTCAGTTTAAGGTTAAACAACAGATGCTGAATTAATAGCATGTTACCAAGTTGAACAAAAAAAAGACAAAATACTCACATTTGACTATTTAGTCACTAAAGAATCACTGGTCACTATATTTTCAGACAGTGGGTTTTTCTCTTTGACATAGACTTTAATATGTCTCAATAAAATCCATGTTAAAATTTCTTTCTTCTAACATCTTCTGTACTTTGAGGATTATCGGATTTTTCAAAGGTTTTTAGTAACTCACTTAAATCACTTTTTTAAATTTGAAAATCAGTTTTTCTGCTATTTCCTTTAACCAGCTGGGATAGCCTCTCCTACTGACTTGTTAATTCAGCAAGAGCATAGCAATCATTGTATTTTCCTCATTTACAAAGGCTCCAATTAGACTGCAAAAGAAAATTTTAACAGACCTCTTCATCCTCTCTTCCTGCAGGCTGAACAGCTTGGTTTTGGCATTCTGCCGTTGAGCCCTGATACTGTTTGTGATGCCAAATTGGAACACAAGGGAAAACAGTACAAAGTTGCCGTTCACCTCAATCAACAGGCCCCAGCTAAGGCATTAGTTTATTTATAGAAATTACATGTCTCATAAATGCCTATTATTAAATTTGCTAAAAGGAGGCAGCATTTTTTGCAATACTGAACTAGCAATATGATCAACACAGAAACAAATAGAGATACATTAAGGAAAACTTAGTTCTAAATGACAAGATATGGGAAATTTAAATTTGCTGTTCTAAATGCGACTATTGTATCACACCCATTTTAACCCAGCTATACACCCCAACTTCATCTCTCTACCTCCAATATATAATGCACTATTATTTTTGTTTATCACAGAAGGGCTTTTAGTACCAAGACTCCATAATTAAATTCTTTTAACTTAAAGTAAATTAAATAATAATAACTTCACCACCAGGGGGCAAAAAACATTTTTATAGGCAAAGGATATATTTAGCATTCTAAAGGAATTATCTTGTGTGAACATAGTTTTTTTGTTGTTGTTTAAGGAAAAAGTGTGCTATTAAATGAGAAAATTGTACAAATTACCGTTAACCAAATGTCTTTCCCTTTACTTTAGTTTTTAGATCCTTTAAAGGAAAATTTTTCCCTTCCCTTTACCCTTTTCTTTCATATATTTGCAAATGTGGAAGAAAAATAGAATTGAATTTGCTAAATACTAATCTAGTCTTTGTCTCTGGTGGCCTTGACATTGTGGGGTATATTCTGACCAATGGTTTCCTAAGCACGTATTTTAGCTCTGCGTTTTTGTTAATTTCAAGTGATTAACTCAAATACTCAAATCTTTACCTCCTTCTAAAATCAAGTTCATTGTCTCTTGTTGTTTGGGGTGTTTGTTTGTTTGTTTGTTTGTGACAGGATTTCACTCCATTGCCCAGGCTAGCGTGCAGTGGTGCAAGCATAGCATGACACAGCCTCAAATTCCTGGGCTCAAGGTACCCTCCTGCCTCAGCCTCCAGAGTAGCTAGAGCTAGGACTACAGGTACACATCACCATGCCTGGCTAATTTCTTAATTTTTTGTAAAGATAAAGTCTCTCTATGTTGCCCAGGCTGGATTTGAACTCCTGGGCTCAAGTGATCCTCTGGCCTCAGCCTCTCAAAGTGCTGAGGTTACAGACGTGCACCACCATGCCTGGTCCATTGCCTCTTGTTTTGATTAATGCTTTGATATTTGTTACTTTTACAACTGTAAACTGATAATAACCGATAAACATATCAAATCATGTATTATCTCTTTTGAGAGTGTGATGCCACTGAACTTACCTGGTGAAGTACCAGAGTTGTGAACAACTAAGGCAATAAACAACATGATCAGTACAATAAATCATTGGTAAGAAGCAATGATAAGAATCACTTTGGGGAAATATTAGGTCCAACATGTCTAAGTCTTCTATTCTGAGGATTTAAGATATTTGATTATTTCCTGACTTGTAACTTGATAAAAATTCAAGCAATAGAAGCGAAACTGAGAGTTTTTAAATCAAGGTATCTGTGGTATAGGAAAACAACCACATTTGATTCCTCTTGGCTTGGTTTCTTTCCCTTCCTCCGCTCTTAAGTACCTGCTGAGACCACATTTCCCTGGATCAATTGTAATGATGCCTCTATTTCAAATTAGGGCTGGGAGAGAATGACGATGCCACGGTGGCCTGGCAAGAACATGACTCCTTCTTTCTCTTTACTGCTCACCCCAAGCCTAGTCATAATTTCCACTGCCAGCCCTCAGCACCAGGGCTGTCACCGGCGGTGCAGAATTGAGTCAGATATCACTACGTGCTCACCTAAAGAACATTTTTATCCAGATGAAATCATATTTAAATCAATACTGAAAACAAACATAAGGAGACAAAGTTGTTGCAAAAAGTCAGTGTTAGGGGTTGAGAGACACATTAAAGAACATTCTATGACCTACTCCCTGTCACACTAGTTTAGAGATAAAGGGTTTTTTTTTTTAATTGTTTTAGTGTGAATTGCTAGAATCAGCTCCTTCTTTCTCATTGAGTGACACCCACTGCTCAAAGTTTAAGCTTTTCACTCTGATACATTCTAGCCTATCTTTGGCACCTTGGTGCATCTTTTCAAATCTTCTCAATGTCATATATAAACTAGCCTCACCCACGTGGCCATACACACCCTGTAGATGTACTCTATATAGTACCTTCCCTTAAGACCAAATTTTCTGATCTCTTTTGGTGCCAGCAAATATTTATCAGTAATATGTTATCTAGCATTTTCAAAAAAAATTTAAACATACTTATAGAATTTCTTTAAGGTCAAGAATATTTTAACAATGAGTAAAGAAGCTCATACGAAAGAGAGAGCATGGAAATGGTTGTTTAGAAGTATTTCCATCATTATATTATGTTTTCCCTTTTGTCAAAAATGCTATTTGTCACTAAATAAAAACTCTCATATCTGAACCTCTAAAAACTTGTTTAAAATCTTCCAAATAAAGATTTTTCAGTAGACTTAAAATCCATTTGTTAAAAATGTAAAAACCCTTCGGTTCTCAATTAGTTTGCAAGAACAATTATTTGACATCAAGGAGGATGGAAAATTACTAAGCCAGATTTTAGCAAAAACCTTTGCACAGTTGCTGAATGGAACTGAAAATTGAGTCTCAGGTTTAGTGGCAGAACCACCCACACACTTCTCTTACCGGGATCTCGCCTTTGTGAGGAATCTTTCTTTTCGATGACAGCCATTAAAACGAAGCATCTAAATAAACTGAAATTAGAATCAGACTTTCACTTTATCACAAAATCCTTAACCAGATTTTAAAATTAACACATCGTTTTTATTAATCACTGAATCACTCTCAATAAAAATAGATAGTAATAGTCTTCACTTTTTGGGAAAATCTGGGCTTAACAACCTTCATAATGTAATAATTAGAAGGTTGGCTTTAAGGTTAGTTTATTTTTAAAAAATACTTTATCCATTGGTTAATTTTTTTTCCAAAATGTTTACTTTTTCCTTATCTTTAGAATACCACCTCAAAGGAATATATGAAGTATGTTTCTTTATTTAAGTTCTGATTGAAAAGTCCCATAGCTTCCCATCATACTTAGAATAATTCCTTTTCTTTAAGGTTCCACATAACCTGGGCCTCTGCCTACCTGCAACCTCCCACCGTCCTCCCCCTCCTGGCACTGGTTTTCCTTTGGAGCACACCAGACTCATCCCTCTTGGGGCTTTTGGATTTCCTCTGCTTTGATGCTCTCCCTCCAGATCATTGCGTGGCTGGCATCTTCCCTTTGTCCAAGTCTGCACTTCATTTCCATCACCTTAGATAGGCTTATCTTAATCACCGTAGGCACCAAGGGAAAGCTTCCCCTTCATCCTCTGAAGGTTCACTGAAAATCAATTGACAAAAATCAGATTAACAGGAGAAAAAGCACACAAATTTATTAATGTGCAAAGGGGAGAATTCCAGAGTGATTACCCCAAAGGCAATGGGGATTTGGGTAGTTTTCTTAAAGAAAAGGGAGATGGGGATGTGTGGATGATTTTAGGGGGTAGTAAATGATTTTGGGGGGAAATCAATGGGCTCAAAGAACACACAATGGCCTGGGACAAAGTCTTTTGGGCCCACAGAGCAGACAATGGTTTGTGACAAAAGTCTGTGCAGGTATGTTGACAGATTTCTCTCTCCCTGGGATTCTTTTCAGTTAATGAAAACTCAGGGAAGGGACCAGAGGTGATTGTTTTCTTATTTGGTGGGTCCAGACTTTAGGCAGATAAGGAAACTTCAGAGAACTTCTTCCTGTGCTTTGGGAGAGATGGAGGATTGAGAGGCAGGAGGGGTGACTGGGCAGAGAGAGCTTGAGACTTCTTTTTCAGTTTAGCGTGTCAATCAACCATACTTTGGGGTATCAGTTTCTGAGCCCTAACATCATCTGACCAAAAGGGCCATCACCACCTTATTAAAATCTCTGCGTAGCACTGACCACTCTTGGTTATTGTCCTTGTTTATGTATTCTTTGTTCACTGAATTTCTCACTAGAATACTCCATGAGAGTGGGGACTTTATCTTGTTCATTTCTCCAAACAGTGCCTTGCCCAAATTAGGATTTCAATAAATATTGTTGAATTTAAAAATAAAATGCCTTTCCTCCTCTGTGGGTAATAATAGACTCTATTATGTCAGATTCTTAAGACAAAACAATCAAGTAAACTGGAGAATTGGCCACATTCAAGCCATAGGACCATATCCAGCTCTCAGAATAAGCCACGAGCTCCAGGATATGTTCCTTGTTTCACCATGCAGAGTCAACTGTAGGACCCTCATGGTGAAGGGTATGATGAGTTGACCCACATGCTCATTTGATATAATACATTATTTTGCATTATGTGGTTCTGTGATGAATCGGAGGTATAACACTGACTCCACAGAACACTGCTTGCAGTTATTCATTTTTGATTAGTATATTTTAAACTATTCATGACTTTTTAAAAACAAGTTAGAGTCTAATGTGGTGCCATAATGAATACCAAGTCCGAAAGTTCTTTAGTCCCATAGAAATTCTCATTGCCATCTTGAGTAAATACAGCTGAGGGAGAGGATTTATATTTATGTCCCCCTTTGGTTGCAACAGGACATGCCACAGACAATTCTAATTTTTCTCAAAATTAGTCCTGCCAAGTTCTAGGTCATGTCTTCAACATGCAGAGTAACACTATTTCCAGGAAAACTTAGATATGCAAATGCTATGATAATTTCATATCCTCATTAGGAAAGAGTTTTAAGGCCAAGCAATTCTTTCATTTATTAATAGTACAGGGTTGCATTTTCACAGAAAGATCATTGTTTCCATTGATATTCCAGAGCAATGCTTGTTAATATTCCAGATGATGTTATCCTTTATTAGCTTTATCATCGAGTATCTTATGTAAGGTCAGAGTTGTGGTTAAGACTTGTTTGATAATGATCTCTCAAGCTATATTCTTTTGACAAAGAAACTCTTGGTTTTAAGTATGGGGCAATATTCTCCTTTTCACAAAGAATAAGGCTCATTCCCAATTTTTTTTTTTTCCCTCTCTGAAACTTACAGGCTTCATGGTAGAGTTGTCAAATTTAGCAAATAAAAATACAGGGTACCTAATTAAATTTGAATGTCAGATAAGCAACAAATATTGCACAGGACATGCTTACACAAGCAAATTATTTGTTGTTCATCTGACATTCTGATATAACCAGGTATGTTATCTGACAATCCTGGTCCGTCTTTATTTTTCCCACTTTTGATAGAGACTTAGGCTGAAACACATTCAGATGGTCTTCTAGGAAGTAGTGATGTCGTCATTAATTTCTTGTTAGTTATCTTTACATGTTGTCAGCTGTTTTAAAATCAAAGTGGGGAACTTCCACTTCTGACTGAGATGGAATATCAGGGGTGTGAAACAATTGGAAAAAAAATCCGGATAAAATAAATGAAATTATCAGTTCTCAAGACACTGGAAGTCAGGCAATGAGGGATTCCATTATGTCAAACACTTAAAAAGCAAATATTGACTCAGCACTTATCATGTATAAGGCATTGTATTACAACATGCCACAAACACAAGACAAGGAAAGAAAAGAAAAAAAGAAAAGACAAGCTCTCAGTCCTTGGAGAATTCATAATTTGGTAGGAAAGATAACAAGGATATGCACAGAGAGATGATTAACAGTACAAAGCAGTAGATGGGAAGTGCCAAAGGGGTAAAACAGACAAGAAGAGTCAGGAGACCAGAAATGGTCAAGTTAAAGACCTCAAAGGGAGAGATGATAAGAGAGAGGGTGTTTCACTAAATGCTTTACATTTAGCACCCTGTTTAAGCCTTCCAACACCCCTATGAGGGAGGTATTGTTATCACCAGTTTCTAGCTGAAAAAAGAGAATGCGAGGGTCTAGGGAACACGCCTACTGTTACATACTAGAAAGTAGCATATCTATTTCCAAGCAGGTCCTCCTGACCCCACAGCCCAAGCTTTTAACTACCAGTGCTACCTCTGAGATGATGAGGGTGTAGACTTTGACCTCTACTGTTATATGGAGCTCCAGTTTAAGTGGGAAAGTGAGATAAAAACTACTTTAGAAAACAAATTCTGCACATACTGCTCTTGACATTGTGAATACAAATATCATTCGATCACATTGGATTGCAAGGAGACTAAAGAAGGGGTCAAGTTCAGAAATATGAAATCATAACAAACTGAAATAAGCTGGTGTCTATTTTCACATACAGCAAAGAGAGAATAAGAGAGGGAAAAATGAAAAATAAGTGCAAGCCTAATGATTCTACCAAAAAAACAAACAAAACCCTGTTAGAATAAACACATTCAGCAAAGTTGCAGGATATAAAACCATCACACAAAGATCAGTTGTGTTTCTATACGCTGACAATGAACAATCTAAAAAAGGAAACCGTCTACTGAAATACCACCCTGAATGTGTCCTATCTCATCTAAAAAAGGAAATTAAGAAAACAATTCTATTTGTAATAGCATCAAAAAAGAATAAAATATGTAGGAGTAAACTTAACCAAGCATATGAAAGACATACACTGAAAAACTGCAAAACATTGCTGAAAGAAATTAAAGATGATGCTAATAAATGAAAAGACATCTGTGTTCATGGATTGCAAATTTTAATATTGCTAAGGTGTCACTACTCTCCAAAGTGGTGGAGGGGTACATCACTGTTGCACAGAGCACGGTCTCACCTTGGTCAGGGGGTGCAACTTTTCCTCTGTGCTTCTATCCCTATGCAAGATGACCAAGTTCCCCACCTTCTGATCAAGGACATTAATAAATGTCCAGGAACAGTGGGATGTTCCCAGTGGGCAGGAGCTTCCTTCCCACTTGAAGGTAGCTCAGCCCTGAGTCCTGTCTACTCCACTTCCTGGTCCTCTCAACTTTAGGTCTTCCTTGCCCTTTCCATTTCAAGAACTCGATTCTTTTCAGATTTCCCTAGTCTTTGTGAACTATTCTTGTTAGTCTCTTTCCTTTTATGGGGCCACAACTTGCTTGCAAGTCTGTGTCAGAACCTTTCTGTCTCATATCTGCAGTGGACTCTTCCTGAGTCTTTGTTTCTTTTTCATTGTGTGCTAGGGGGAGGGAAAGACAGCCTTTAGGGTTCTAGACAAAGCAAAGGAGGAGAGAAATACAATAGAAAACACACAGGAAATTAGAGGTGAACCCATCTCAGATGGATTTAGGTATGAAACTATTAAAGTCATCAAAAAATGAAGAGCGGAGTAGAGGTGAAAAAGAAGGTAAGCCTGGTATTAAGGGCATTGGTGATTACAGTGGAGGGGTCAAGACAGGTGGGTGTCAGCAACAGAGAGGTGGCCACTAAGTTGGATGACACGAACTTTGAAGGAGAGGGGGAGTGATAAGGCCTGGAGGTGGCGTTTGGGGAGCAAGGAGGACTCTTCTCTCTGCCAGGACCCAGGTACCTGAGTCTTGAGAGGGAAGAACAGTCTCTACTTGGGAGGTAAAATACTGTTGTCAGGGGGCAGAGAGCTTTCCATTCCAGATGGAAAGTCTACAAGGAACAAGACCCTTTCTCTGTCATGTTGACCTTCACATCTTCAACACCTTGTATGATGCAATGAGTACATGGCATGTGCTTAACACATGTGGTTTGAGTGGAAGGGCAGTTAACTGAATCTGGTATGTATATTTCAGCCACGTGCTACCATTCCACCCCTGTTCTGGGAGAAGTGGCAGTTTCCAGCTTCCTGCTCCAGAAAATGTGATCGCTGTAGGGAGCAAAGGATCCTTCTGGAGCCCCATGCATGTTCCTGGTGCCTGACAGAGCACTGAGGGCAGCCCTGATCACACCCTCTGCTCACCTCTTAGCTCCCATTGCCATCAACAGCGACAGAGACGGTTACCCAAGTGTGCCCTGCCCTTCTGATTGATGTGACTTCTACTGTCGAGAGTTTTAGGGAATTTGACAGGCCATCAAGTAATAACCTTTATTCTCCCGCTTTGTTCAAAACCAAAGGAGAAATAGATGCTGGAATCAGACAGACTGAAATAAAAATATCAGCTTTATTACCGATAAGGCTTAATGAAAGATCACAATCTGAGCTTTGGCCATTTATCAATGTCCCTAACAGGTCACCTTTTCTACCTGATTATGCTAACCGTGGAGAGTTTAGGGAAAGGAAAGCAGGGAGTAGGTCTCCTAATATCATGTTGTGTCAGAAAGGGGGCCTGGAAAAGACTGGACCACACATGCTCTGTCCTTTCAAATATAAATCACCCCCACGCTTGGGGAGGAGTTGAAAACCTGGAATATTCCTTCCCTATTTTTCTTTCTGACCAAGTGGACATTTCTTCCCTTTTTTTGAAATATGAAGAG